GCAGAAGGTAGGTTATCTTGAATACTTTTAAAATGTAAAATCAAACAGTGTTAAAACTGGAAGGAACTTAACATATTATCTCATCCAATCAAATTTTATAGATAAGGAAACTGACCCAAAGAGGCAAGAGCAACTATGTTAGGATTTATCAAAATATTTCAGCTGTTTAAATTTTCTCTATACTCAGGTTCTGTATTTATGACTTAAATTTTGAGACTGATCTCTAGCACAGTGAAATAGAAGGCTGGCTAATTCCAGTAGTAATAACACTAAGATACCTTGATCTGGGAACTATTGTCCATTTTGCATGGTTTGCTTTTTGGTCATATTTTCTTACTCCTATGTTCTTTCAGTATTCCAAGCTTATTTCAACCCTTTTGCATGTGTTCTGTCTTCTGGAAATGTCTTTTCTCTGCTTCCTAGCAAACTCTTCTTATTACTCAAATAGCAATCTCTTTGGTTTTAAGTGCTCTATTAACTACACCCTTTGCATATAGTTAGGTATATTCTATGTGTTCTCTTATATTTACCTCTGCATTTAACGTGGTAATCTTTTGTTTACATGTCTGTATCTTTCATTATGATTTGAGCTCTTCAGGGACAAATTAATATACTTAGTGTCTAGCATAATGCTTGCTAAAACATTAACACCTAAATAAATGCTTTAGAATCAATTAATAAATAACTGTATATACAGTATAGTTTTTTTTATTCTTCCACTTATTAACCTTTAAGTCACTTTGCCTATTCTTTATATTCTTTAGCTTTATTATATTCTTTAGCTTTCATATTCTTTAGCATTATTAATTTATTCTCCACATATTTCATTTACTGTGTGAATGCTGGGCATAGAAAAGAACAAGTTCCTGCTTCATGGAACTTAAAAGTTTAGCAAAAGAAAAAGGACACTAAACAAATATATTCTAATTAATTACTATTATGAAAAGTTCCATGAGAGAGTTGTGCAGAATTATGTGGGAATAGTGATAGTCCAGGGAGTAGCAAAGTGACACTTAAAAATGTGACTTTTAAGCTAAGAACTGAAGAATGAATAGGAATTTGCCAATCAAAGGAATACTGTGTGCGAAGGCAAGAAAGAGCTTGTTATATTTAAGGAACTTAAGAAGGCTAATGTGAGTTTAGCATAGACAGTGCTTGGAGTTAAAACTAGATAAGCAAAACAGATTTAGGAGGCCATTTCACATGTACAGATGAAAGGTGATAGTGTTTAGACTACAGTAGTGGCATATATACTAGAATTATGGAGATTAAGAGTTATTTTAAAAGTAGAATTCAGATACCTTGGTTATTGATTGTGTAGGATGGGGGGCTGAAAGAGTGTAATCTAAAATTACCTCTGAATTTCTACCATGAGCAACTGACTGAAGTGGCATTTATTGAGCTCAGCAACGCTGCTAAAAGAATAGAGTATTGGTGGAGGCAGGGGAGAGAAAAAAGGTCATATGATCAGTTTTGCAAAACTCGAGTATCACAGCAATTTCAATGGAGTAGATTGGGAGGAGTCCATTTTGGGGTGGTTGAAGAGTGCATGAGTGATGAATGAAGTAAAGACAATTTATTGGATTGTTGTTGTTTTTCAGGTTCTTTGAGGCATAGTGTTAGGTCATTTATTTAAAGTCTTCCCATTCTTTTGATGTAAGTGTTTATTGCAATAAGTTTGCCTCTTAGTACTGCTTTTGCAGTATCCCACAGGTTTT